TTGTAGCGTTCCTCCCTTCCGGAATCTTGTTCAAATTAACCTCAACCTTAGCCAAAGCTAATGTATCAGCCGATGCAGCCAGACTAGAGAGAACATCCACCACAAAGGACTTTGTTCCGGCTGCAGTTAGAACACCAGTTGCACCAATCAACGCATAGGTAAAAGCGCGGTGTGCATCGTCTCCTGTGCTGGGTCGTCTGTATTTGGAAAAATCGGGAACTATTCTAGTGTGTGAACCACCGACGGCAGAAGATGATGAGTGACGTTGCTGATTGATGGCACCTACAGGAGCAACTGTTAAATAAGGTCACTTAGCACTCTTCAATTGAGAATTAAAATTCGCATTGTATAGAAGAAGAGCTATCAAGTGCAAATTTCATATTGGCAGAATAGAACGATCAATGAATTCATTCATCAAGTTTGCAACAGTAGGGTCAATTCTGCCGAAAAAATATTTGTCAGCAAAGACAGCATACCATTCACAAATGTTTTGGATTGTACAGATCCATCCAAACGCTTTCTTGAACCAGCAATCCATGCAGGGATCGCTGTAACCTTGTGACTGCGTGGTTTAAAATTGTTGGCCGTCTCAAACAGCCTTCTAACTGTAGTGGGTGCATAAGGAGCATTGACTACAGTACGATTGACTGACGCTGCAACTAGTTTAGTGCTGAGTGCCATAGCGTTTTCGATGATATCTAAACAGGTTTACTGATTTTTTTCACTGGAAATCTAAAAATACATGTGATTTTTATTACCTAATTATTACGGGAGTAAGCTCAAAAAATCACGTCATAGTAACAGTATCGGTATCACCATTAGAATCTGTACTCATATCATTCGAGGATAAACAACTGCTTGGCCTTTTTACGGAACACTATTAGTGAAATTGACAGATTTAATTAAACGTTGTATTTTATTTTCGAAGTGGACCAGCGTTGTTTTTATAATAAAATCTCCATTTGTTTATCGTAGCTGATTATCATAATACTGAAGGTTTAGACTCCAATATATTATCCTACGCGCAAGAATGTCTCTTCTTGAACGCAATGGTTGACAAAGAAGAAGGGCAATTTTTTTGCGCGAAATTTATGAAGTGTACATATCAGGACTTTGTATCGAGTAACAAGTTGGTGCTCTGCTGACTGTTTGCAATCTTAAAATTACAATTTCTTTTTTAAAATTTTACATACAAGACTAATTTTGCAGAGTTATAAAAAATACTCGTCAGATACTTTTTCCCTGGAAGTGTTAATTGCTAAAAATGTACGTTATGTCAACATTACAATGTAATCTTTTGTCAGTTCATAAAACTTAATTGTAATTTAATTCACTGGCACATAACATAGATAATTCGTTTCGAGATTAAAGAAATGTCACAATTAATATTAATACAATCAGAATACGGTTAATACCGGACTATGTCTCTCATTGACCACTGAATATGGATAATTATCGTACTAGGGCGATAACTCGTGAAGAAACTCTCCGATTGCGCCAACAAAGTCAAAATAATTTACTTTATTCTATTTCTATTTTTAATGAATCTGATGCTACTATTGAATTAAGCTCTAATACTAATACGAAACAAAGTTTATACAATCTATTAATTAAAAAATTGAGTCTTCCTGATCTTATTTCTGTATTTAACTATTACAGTGCACAGAGAATAAAATGTATTACAATAAAAATCGATTTTCTTTGTCATATTCAAACAATTAAAAAAAAAAGCTGTATGACACGTGTTAACACAGCCTGTTAGATAATGCGACTGCGTTCACTATAACTTTACATTCATCACACCACTCTGCCGCTTCCGGGAGAGCCTGACCACATATAGCACAGAAGTTGGTTGCCACCAATGCTAATGCTCCAGTAGACTCGAAAAACTTGAAAATATTTGTTCAAACCCTACTGTATTTTTAAATCGCATACTAATTGCAAAAATGGTAACACAAATTCGTTTACTTCTGAGATTGTGTGACGAAGCTTTAACTTTCATCTCCAAACCAAACAAAACGAGCACTGCAAAGTTGCGCAAAAGTTATTGCTGCCGCGTCTTTATAAGCAAGCATAATGTGTCGACACAGAGACAGGTTGATTATGTCGCTTCAAAATGAGTAGC